CTGAAATTTATCTCATGTTTGCGTTGTGAAAGAGTTGAATGCAAAAACTTGATATTAAGTTGGAATTTGTCCTCTTTATGTGTAGAAATAAATACCTTTTGTAATTTGCTGATTTTATATTATGTGGAGGAATACTCTTTGAAATTTAAGGATGTTTGTAATTATCTTCACAAAGATTTTTCTCCTATGTTTTTGGAGTAAAATGCTTTGGTTAAGGGCTATTGCCTTTAATATGCAACATTCAGTTACAATATTTTTATAAATGGCTTAAGTATTGTGAATGAACTTGTTGGTAGATGTATTAATTTGCATTTTGCATGTATTTTCGTTAAGAGTCGCAATGAAAGTATACACATCTTTTCTTTGAATGTAATTTTGCTTTTTATTTTATGCATAATGTTCTTTTTTTTCACATTGGCTACAGTTTTTATCAATATTTAGCACATGTTGAACCCCTTAGATGTAAAATTATTGCTAGTGGTTCAAGTTGTGGCCATCAGATTTGACTCTAGAAAATTACAAGAATTTTCAAGAATGATTGTATTAATGATAATATTATTATAGTATTTTGTTAGTGTTTTATCTCTTGAAAGCTTTATATACATACCACGCGATCCATATGGATTTACATATCTAAAAACTAAACTTCAATTTATACATATTTGCCACTTACCTATGCTTCAAAAGGTGTGTTTCACCTTATAAATGTTCTTATACACATATTCTTGGTGATATCAAAGAATTAGGTAATAAAAAAGTAAGAAACAAAGTTTTGTGCAGGTCTCATACCAATGTAAACACAAAGGAATTGAGTGGTTCTTATGTCAAATTCTTCTTTTTTGGTTTATTTAAAGTATTTCCTGATTGAAATAAGGAGTCAAAATGAAATTATGATATCTCCAAATAAACATATATCCATCATTAAGAAGGCTTTTGAAGAGTAAAATGATGTTTTGTTTTCCTAGGAATTCTAAAGATTGGTTATGCTTAGTACGGCTTTGATGAGAGGAATTCTTGTTTTTTTTTTCTTATGAACGGAGAACATATTTTTTAAATGCTTCAACAATATTATTTGTGTGAATGTTGGTCAAAATTTGGTTGTTCATTCGGAAAGTGACATTTTCTTATTAATGCTATAAATTTTGGAGGTTTTACCAATCCTCTTTTACATACCTTATCCCTAAAAATATCAAATTGCATTACATTTTTGTATCTTAGAAATATTCTTAATTTGCATTCACATGTCTGCCACATAAATTACCTCTCTGTTAGAACATTTCTTGCTATGAAAAGAAATATTCTGTGCTTATCCATTAATCTGACAGAACTCGATGAATAAAACTAAAGAGATCGGATCATCGACCATGTGAGATAGGTAGGTCACTATTATATTTTGTGATCTATGACTGAGGGAGGTCGAGGTGGGAAATAGACTCACCACGTATTTTAGTAAAGAAGGGTGACAAAATCTTATGATTAAATTCAAGGAAGTGACTTGAAGGGATTACAATCGGATGAAACTGAAGAACAAGTGGGATCAATTAAAAAAAGATTGAAGAATATGTAAAGAACTCAAAAAGGGATCAACGGGATTGAGTTGGGAGATCCAGTACAGTAAAGCGGACAATTGATGCACCAGAGGATTAGTGGGCTGAGAAATTACAAGTAAATAAATATCTGACATTACTTCATCTTGCATCAAATTTCACATTAAAATGATTTCACTAATAAAATTTTCAATCTATTTCAGGTAGAGTCGTCAGCCAAAAAAATTATATACTTCTTTTGAGGTTCAATTGAAGTATTTGATTTATATGTGGTTGTGCACTTGGGTCAATGAAGTCAATTACAAATTATGATGCATATTTGTTTATCTATGCATATTTGCTTAAAGATTATATGAAGTCAATTACCATATATGTTTTACAGTTCCAATGAAAAGCATCTTTCCATCTAGTGAAATGTCAACTGGTATTTATGGGGGCAGTTGTGAATATTTCTTATAATGTGGCAGCTTGGATGACCCATGTCTTTAAGAGCAACCACAACATTAGAATTGTGTGGTAATGTCTGTAAGGCTAGTATTTCCTGCACTTGAGATGGAGGATCTATGAAAACACTTTTCTATTTGTTTGCTCTTTAGTTGGGCAAGCATTTGAGATGGGGGTTTGGGGATTGGATTGTATTACAGGGAGCTATCATACCTTCTTCCGAAGGCTTATTTGATTGCTTTGCAAATGCTTCTGTTATGCATATTTATGAAATGAGTAAATTTTTCTTCTATGAATTCATGAATTTTTACATTTATCACCCTTATATGATTGCATTAAGAAAATTGGTAAATTTGTAAATAATAATTTTTGGGTGCTCTGTATGTGTCGAATGAATCTGAATGGGGTTAATTGGTTCTAGAATATCTAAAGGGTAGATATTGTTTTTTTGTTCAGAACATTGTAACTTCTTCGTGCCAGATTGCTCGTTTAACTAAATAAATTTGTAAATCAGCTTTTTAAAAAACACACAAACCAACTAGCTAAACAACTTATCCAAAACAAGGGTAGAATGGTCATGTTTTCCGTTCATTTTTATTTTTTTATTTTAAAAGGAGTCGTCATCTTGTCGATCGTCGTATACTTTTCCCATTCGAATAAATCTCCCTCCCAAATTATATTAGTGATTCGAAGATGAGAGGAATCAAATAAGAAGAGACTTATGACAAAGAGACAAACAAGAGAAAAAGTAAAACATAGAGAGTCTACGTACGATAAACCTCGCAACGATAGGTCAAGAATGTCTGCCCACACAAGATCGGGCGAAGGCACCTTAAACTAATATCGGCGAAAGAAATATCTACGTAAATTACCCATAACCAGATAGTCAGGTGTATGTACATATTCTGGGGTCAAAAGAACTCTCAAAGGAATATGTTTATACTAATTAATTACATCTTAGGAGATACCCAAAAATACTCTTGATAAAAGGAGTTTCGTTTCATATTATCATAAACATGTGGTATAGGCAACAAAAGGAACGTTATTCTGTGTGCCAACAATTCTGATACTTCAAAGCTCACGCTAAGCCATCGAGCAGAGCGTGAGTCTCTCACATCCCAAATGGGTAGCGGCTAATTGGCACACGAGGGCCACGGAATAACCTAAATCATCTTGGCGGGGATATCTCAACACATCAAAGCATGTCCGGGCCATAAAGACAGATGACAAATCGTTGCATCTTAAATGGGCGGCAGCTCATCGACATCAGACAGTCAAAATGATATCGACGAAGTCAAGAAACGACAAGGCTCAAAGGGGCTCAAGAAAAAGAAATGTAATGTGATCCTATAAGGTAGAGGTAGTTGAGTCGGAGTACCACAAACCTGTCATACACAACTACTAGGACCTAATTCTACCTGGCCTTAAAGGTAGTCGACTCAACACGTCCTGAGATCACTGGTCAGCAATCCGTGAATTGTGTCATCCACGGGAACCTCGGTAGCCCTAAGGTCAAAGGAATGAAACTCTATCCTAAGACTATAAGTTGGAGCTCCAAGAGGTGAAACTTATACATGTCGAAGTGGCAAGAATGTCTCAGGAAAGAAAGTGAAATGGAGGTTCAGCTACAAAACTGGAAACGCTCCAAACAAAAGGACTTACACTTCGTCTGGGTCGGGGAGCCTTCTAACACCTATGCACACTAGAAAACCGCCTATATAAAAGTATGTTGAGTCAATCAGATTGGAGAAGTACGAGGATTTCTCGAGACATGCAAATATGAATGCAGTTATCTAAAGTGATCCTTAAGTATTGTGGAGAAGTTAGCCTCTTAGGCATTTCAATCACCTAATAGTTGAACCAAGCACGATAAAGATAATGTTTGAAGTGAATTAGCATGAAAAGTATGAAGGAAAGAAGAAAAGAAAAGCAATAAGAAAATGTGAAGCCAGAAGGCCTAAAATGATTACAGGGACGGGGATGGCGTATAGAAAAGAAGTGTTGAAGGAGAGCTTCAATCCTTACTCCTTAGAGCCTTCGTCTGCCAAGGGTTCTGCCAATCGAGCGTTCAGGATCTTCGAGTTGCCCTCTACCTTTGAGCCTTGGACCGCGACTGGGATTGGCTGGGAGAAGAATGGCGATAGAAACTTAGGGCACGAAGGAATTAAACACTGCTTCACGTGTATAAGAGGCGAACCGGTTCTTCGATTTACCAGTCGAACCTGGTTCGACCCATTTTATGCTATGCGAAGGCAAATCAAGGCATTTGGGGTAACCAGACCGGGCTGGCTGACAGTTTGCGGTCGAACCGACCTATCAGATCCAATTTTTACAACCTTGTGCAAAACTGTATGTTATGATAAACCTTTCGATGAGAATAAAATATAATAGTTTAATTCGATTTCTCATCCAGGTCATAAATTGCTAGTTTAGTCTAAAAAAAAAGAAAATCTTATCAGCTAGAGCCATTAGAAAATAAATAATATTCATAATATTTGCATTGCATCAACTATTGGCATTCACAAATAGGTTCTAGACTGAAGCGAAGCAGTTCAAATTTTGAAAACCATGCCAAAAAGGTAAATAGATAATATCCTCAAGTACAAAAATAGATTGGGGCATTTACATACATGTCACCCAATTCCTATGTATTTACATATCTCAAACCTAAACTTTTGTTTTAACATTTGTACCACAAAAATCTTTCATTTCACATAAATAAACAAATACCATCATTGTAATTCTTACAAAATGAAATTCACCTTTTCATGCAATGGCAAAGTGGAATGTATTAAAAAAATTCAAGTTTTGATATTAGAACCGTAAAAATATAAGAATCGTATGTAAATCTTCCATATAAATTTTATTATAAACAGACTGTTAAATGAATTGATTGTTGGGTGATATAAAATATTGGCAAATACAGTATGTTAAAATGAAAGTACTACAAAAATAATGAAAACAATTCAGGCTAAACAAATCATATTCAATTAATAATATACTGCCAAGATGTGTTGAAAAAGAAGGCCATGATTCCATAAAGAGCTAAAATTATCATGAGTACTGCACATTAATTACGTGAAAAGATTTACAATAAGAGGTTTCTGTGTCAACAAACAGCAACAAAAACAAAGTTAGAAAAAAAGAAGAACAACAAAAGCAAAAGCTCAGTAGCTGGGTGTTGAAACCTGCACTATTTGCAGAATTAAAATGCCCGAGCAATTCTGTGCTAATACTATAGCAGGATCAAGTATATTGGCAATGAGCTAAAAGGCCGAGCTCGTTCTTCGAAGCCGATATTTTGGTTCTGGTAAGGGTAAATCATTTAATATCTTGTCCAATTCCTGCAACAAAAGGAATAAAAATGTGGGCAGATCATGGTTAATATTGCAATTCGATATTCAATCCCAGGATAAAAGAACAATAGTAATATTAATACATATGAGCACTAAATATAAATCCAATATTCAAATAATTCAGATAATGTGTGTCGAAGTCCAACCACAAACTAAGGGTCTGTTTTGGACTTTTTTTTGCCTATTTTGTGTTTCAAACTGCTATCACGATTCTATTTGGGAATTAGTTTCTTGTTACTAACTAGAAATTTATATTGTGGGAAACTATTTTTTTCAACTTGACTCATAAAGTGTACTGGTTGTAAGAAAGCAGCTATCTAAATTTTTGGAGAATATATATACACCATAGCTTTTTAAAAAGTTTTCTCCACCACAGATTTACAAATACATTTTTAAAAAGCTGCTATCACCCCAAATAAACCCTAAACCATAGTTAGTTGTTCGGGCTTTAAACAACTTGAGAACATGAAAATTGAGTTCAAATCCACCTTCATGAAATATTTGTGAATCAGTCCTGAACATGGGAAATAATGAGTGGCATCGAATAGATCGATATCAAAAAATAACAAAACACGAACTAAACATGAACAAATAGAAAAATTGGCAAACTGAATTCAAATAAAGCTTCAAGAATTAATACATGTGGCTCATCTACATTGATACCCAGAGCAATTATTATTTCCCATATTTTCATTTGCGCTACCAAATTTATTTATGAAAAATGGAATGCTAATTCTGTAAACTAGATTTCTCTGCTTTTTATACTTTGTAATGTGTTTCTGTTTTTTTCTTATTTGAACTGTCCCGAAAAAATGATTTAGTTTACTATTAAATGGCTAATGATTTGTTTATTTTGGCTTATTCTCTCCATCATCCTATAGCCAAGATGACACTCATGAGGGCTTGTTTGGGACAATTTTCTGTCTGTTTTGCTTTTCTACTATATTTCTGTTTGAGGAACTGCTTTTAGAGATTTATGCAGTAGAAATCTGTTATTTTCAACCCAAGGGTATTTGAAGTTGTTATGAAGTCACTGTTCAAAGAGCTGCGATTGCTATTACAAAAAAAAAATTTGAAAAAGTCAAATCGTAACTTTCTAATAAACCACCACAAGTAGTCAGGTCTGGGGGAAAATACAGATTTTAGCTACAGTTTTTTAAGAACACTGGCAAAACTGGGAAAAACTACGGTGCGCCACCTCACCACTGCCCTCAAACTCAGTGGTTACCAGAAAACTGTGGTTTGATTTTTTGAAAATAAAATAAATTTATAATAGCCACAACTTTTTGTAAAGTTATTTCATCTATAGCAGCTTCACAGTTGCGTCTTCAAACAACCGCAGTTGCCCCAAACAGACCCTAGGACTTCTTAAGTTGATTGTTATTTACTAAATCTTTATGCATTATTTAATGATCATAATGTTTTATGGGTAATATTAGACTTCGGTCCCCACTCCTTGCAAAATGTCCCCTCTCCAAAGCCAAAAAAAAAAAAAAAAAAAAGGGCCTCATTAGGCGCCAAAGCATGCAAAATAATGTGCTTAGAGAGCGAGAAACATCATCATTAGCATTATTACAATATTCAAGATTGAAAATATAAATCCTCTCTCTATCAGTTTTTATGACTTGGAGTGTTACATTTATTTTGCACACATATTTATGCACAAGTACAACGTCGTAGCCATAAACTACCAATTTACCTTCTAATTAATCCAGATTAGTCTTATCATACTTCTATACTTAGTTGTACAATCTCATACCACATAAGCCTAGCTTTAATATTTTAATGGAATAAAATCTCTAATATATTCACTTGTCACTCTTATCTTTTCTAGTTTTACAAAACAAGAACCATAACATTGTGCTTTTTCACCACAAGCATCTCAGCTTCTTCACATTGTCCTTTTTTCACTGCAAGCATCTCAGCTTTACGAATTTTTATAGCCCGCCGCTCAGATTCTAATAGCAATCGATGTAACTTTACTTTTAAATAATTTACTTCTAGTTTGTAATAACCAGAACTTAATACAAGATTAAAAATTTATTGGACCGTTCCTTGAAATCTGATATTCATTTATTATAAATAGGAGGGTGCTCAAATGAATAAAACATATCAGAAAAAGCTTTCTCCACTACGATGATATCAAAGCAAAGATAGTAGTCTAGTCCAAGATGCCCGCCTATCTCCTCCCCACACTTGCTGGAGATAGACAAAACCATTGAAAATACAAAAAGCAAAAAAAAAAAAAGAATATCAATGCACAAACACATAATTTTATACATGTACAACTAATTGATGCCTAGTCCAAATTTTGTTATTCCAAATTTTATCATTAATTAAGGAAAATTACAAGGCAAATTTCTCTTGTACATAAGATGATGCCCCCTCTATAAAATAAAAACCTATTGCACTCGGGAAAAAACATAAAATTCTCAAAAAGAATCCTTAATAAATAATCACAATTATAGAATATCTTTTGAGGGCTTCATCCTTAATAAACCCTTGAGAGGACAATTCCCGTCCCTCTTCCAACCCATAAGACAACCTTAAGCAAAATTTGGCACGTGACTAAGTCAACATAGTATGTTTTCTTCATTGGGCAAAAATTAAGCTCCACAACTTAACAATCTCCAACCTAAATCAATCATCAAGTCTCCAACACGGCGGCCAGAGTCCTCACCTCTAGTGATGAAGTCCAACTAAGGTTGCACACAATTTTAATTACTCGATCAAAAATAATTTTTGTTCGCATTTTTAGTTGGATTCAAAGTCCCAAGAATTTCTCAAGCATTAAAATGACATCCTCAAAAATTGATCGAATTTAGTGATAACTTTAATGTGCTTTACTCAATCATGATAAATTTAAGGGGCATTTACACACATACCACACAATTCTCAAGCATCTACCTAACACCTAAAAATTCATATCTACATGCATCCACTCAAATTTTTAGCATCATATCAAACATACCACCATCACTATCTTTTTAAAAGTAAAATACATATTTTCATGCGTAAATTTGACACAAAGATGTTATAAGTGTCAATATCAAACTTTGAGTGTTAGATACGTAAATGCATAAGAATTGTGTGGTATGCATGTAAATTTCCCTATATTAAATTCTTTGCTAAATGAATAGTACTCTAATTGTTTCAATGCAACACTCATCCAATAGTTTTGACCTAGATCTTCCAATTACATTTGCGACAAAACCATCTCCTCATTTGCTTTGAAATTCAACTGATTATCATAGTGCCTAAGGTATAAACACACCCAATAGTACTTTCCTAACATCAATATCTCTAGCAATGCCAATATCAATATATCCCTATAATTCCAAATCATATACTTCTTAAAAAATAGAGGATAATCTATAGTAACTCTCACATATCTAACAATCTACTTCAATGCCATCTACTTCAAAGCCTCCCAATAGTTTTGCCTAAATAAGTGTCTATTCACAAATCCAATTGTTTGGACATTTTCAAGTTTAATGCATATCATAGCATACGTAAGAATTTGATAGCTAAAACACTAAGTATATTTTCATATGGGCGCACTCCTCTATCGAAGGTGACTATTATTTTCATAGCTTAAAGTGATTGGCCAAAGTTCTTACGGGATTGGCATCTTTTATATTGCCTAATACACACCTTCTTCATATATTCTTCCAATAACAGTTTCAAAATATTATTAGTTCTTATGAATATCGTATGACCCGAGGATTTGTTCCAAAACAACTAGATCTTTCACCGAAAACCAGCTGGACAATACCATTCTCAATTTCTGAATCCCTTATTTGCTTCAAACATCATCAATATATCATTAACAAATAGCAATCAAATGATATAAGAATTATCAAAGATCTTAATTCAGCAAGTCTCTTTAACACCTCAAAAAACCATAATTTTCTTGAAACTACCCACGTGCTTGTTTTAAATGAAATAAGCTTTTTGAAACTTCGCATGTTGTTCTCTCCTTTCCACTGTACAATGAATTCTTTCGATTGCATTATGTAAATTTCTTCCTCCAAAATCACCATGAAGGGGGTTGCCTTTACATCCTATTAATCCAAGCGCAAGTATTTTTTAGCCACTGAGGTATGTACCATTATAATTGTGTTTATTTTCACCACGAGTGAATTTGCGTACTTGATGACATTTTTTTTTTAAAGAAAAATTTTAACCAACATTGCCTCCATCACATTAATTAATCTAGTACACCCACTTATTGTTCTAATCATTTCCTTTAATAATTCGATTAATAGTCACATTTGATTAGCTAATAGTGAATGTATCTTAACATTCATGGCCAACTCTCTTTTGATTGATTATTTATCTTTTATGGTTAACTCTCATTTGATTGATTATTTATTTTTTATAGTTTTATCCTTGCTCTCTCATTCACCTCAATCATTCGGCAATATAAAGTTCATTCAAGAGTATAAATTTGCCATGGTCATGGCCATGTAGTTTTGCTAAACCCACTGAATGAAGCAGCAAGAATTCTCTAATTTCTTCAAGGGCCATACTTTTCTTGCTCTACAAGACGTATACTTTCTATCTCAACTACATGAATGTCTTCTAAAAAGATAAGATTCCGCTTCAGAGCTTCAAGGCTTTAAGAGTTTGCTTTCTTCATTGAAAATTACATTTTTTTCTTATCCTGATAACCTTAAAAATTTTGGTCATCCCATACATAATAACTAAACTTTGTATCATTATAGCTAATAAGAAAATCTTTTAGATTTAAAACCAAATTTAATTCTTAAAGTTAAATTAATATGAATATAAGAAATATAACCTCATTATCGCTTCAAGTCTCCTCTAATATTTTAAAATATAATGGTGCTGAGAAACTCCCATTGATAAAGTATACTACAATTCTAACAGCCTTAGCCTAAAATACTTCTACTAACCTAACAAACAATCTCATGCTCTCTAGCAATACTCATTCAGTGTTTTGTTCATCTTCTCAACTACTGCAT